GCTTTGGCAAGGAGGGAGGTCCTTCAGCTGTGGCTACATGTGCTCCATTCGTTTGGATAATTTGAACTGGAGCTGGAACCAATTTTTTTACATTTATATGCATTTTTCCTCTAATAACTCGTAAAAGTCTAAAACGAAATTGTCTTCGACTAAGCTCTCCCGGGGTAAGAAATGTGCCGATGTGCCATCTTCTTCCCCACCAAAAGTCATCGTTCTCACGTCAAAGCATCGATTTCAGTGAAGAAATGTCGTCATGGGAATAACAACGAGAGAAATTCGCTCGTTTTTGAATATGCGCCCAGCCGCACTGCATCGATGCCATTTCGCATCGCTCTATGCATTCCATCAATATCTCCCTTTTTATAGGTCTGGTACACAGCTTTTCAAGAACTGGGCCCATTTATTGCCACATTTGCGGATTCAAAGTTATCCGGGTTGAAAATCAAGGACGGACAGGTGATTTAGTTTGCAGATGTTGGAAGTTTTGATGTCTGTCTATAGAGTCCTGTAGCTTGCGTTGATTCTGCATCCATGAATCTGTTCCAGGTGTGTGAAACAGATGGTCGTGATTCGGAGAATGTCATATCAGATATGATCGAGTTTGAAAAGCTCCCAGCCGGATGTTATATGCCAGAGAAAGAAACTGAAGAAGAGGAAGCAGATGATAGTGGACAAGAATCGGATCCTGGGGATGAGTCTGGACAGTAAGATTTACACTGGTTTTATTAGTCCAGTAAATTATAGCGAATACCCAAAAAACAAAATTTAGATTGATTGATGGACTACAGCACATGCTCGATACATGGACAGCTGGCCGGAAGAAATCATCTACTCGAAGCGCACCACCGAGTGTCATGTAAATCTGAAACTCTTTTTAATATTTTATGGTATGAGCCAACCACAAATTTTAGTGACGGTGAACCATCAAGTTCTGGTGAGCAAGTGAGTATCGCAGCTAAATGCAACTCATCAGATGATTTATCCAAGTGAGTCTTCATTCAATCAACTTCTACCGATGCCTTCTGTTTTACAAGTCCCTGAACACCAATTCCTTTTCTTAGGATCGGCCTTGATGACACTGAGTACAATGAGGACGATGATATGGACCTGCTAGACACTACACTGAACGATCTCGGTTTGGATGATAGCAGTAGCAGTGGAGAGCAAGAAAGTCCAAAGAAATCCAAAGAGGTTTGTTGAATTCGAGGATTTGTTTAGATATTGCAAGATTGCGCGTAATTTCTCGCACTTAGTGAAGAAAGTACAATCGACCCAGTCTAATCAGTCCCCTTTTGGGCCAACAAATCTTTAGCTCTCTGAGTTACATTTTGGTAGTCAAAAAGTCTATGAACCAAGAACATTTCGCCAATAAACTATTTTTGAAATGTGGAGTCGCGAAGAAGACAGTGCGCCCTTTCGAACCTTCAGAAGCACAGCGCACGTTTGAACCCAGCACATCCAAAAGATCCAAAGATGACAGATAGTCCAAGGTTGAATTTCAGATGTCCTGCTTTCGAAAAACTTCCGCAGCAGTACCTCTAGCCTAAATTGACCTTTGGTGCTGGCGTACACGGG